CAAAATATGAGACGAACACCCCTCACGGGTTCCCAGTCAGTAAATAAAGGACGAGGTTGTCAGTGATGAGGAAGATAGATTTTATACATCTGTCATTTCGCATATATTAGCTTTGTGCATTTTATCAGAAGCTGCTACTGCTGCGGTAGTTTAGTGCGCATGCGGTGTGACGTCACGCAGCAGCTGTTTCGGTGGCTCCCGCCCGCTAACAGGCTGCCACTGACTCGGGCCGCGCTGACTGGGGAGTGCGAAGTGCGCCCTGGCAGCTGCGGGGACGCGCACGTAGGAGAGGCTCCTGATTCGATGTACAGATGCGCTGACAGCAGCGGGGACGTGCACGCAGAGAGAAGTTCACTTGATGCCGCCATCCATAATACACCGTTGGAGATGGCAGAGGACGGGGAGCTATGCTGGTGTCTGAGGAGAGTCGGGGAAAAGCAGGAACGACTTATACTGCCTCAGGGGGAGGAGGTGAGTGTATAGGCTGTAGGATTCCCCCCTCAGGCCTGAGTAATCGAACTTGTAGGGCGTAGTGAGGAGTGCAGGGGGGTATAAGGGGAGGCAGGCGTACTTCACACAGTAGTAACTGCCTTCCTGTTAAGTGTGGGGTTATAATTGGGTACAGACTTTCCACCTTCACCTCAGGCTGCACTAATTGCTGCTGTAGGGGTACAGTGTTGGGTATACACCCCTAGGACAGCAGCAGTAGTTCATATATTGTGTGCTGAGGGGTACCCTGGGGTTCAGGCTCCCCTCAGGCATTAGTAGCTGCTCACACATATTGTGTTTGGGTTATAGCAGTTCTTCAGTTCAGGCAGTACTAATCGCTGCTGTCTAGTGCGGGGTGTACATCTTTCCATGAGGTGATTAGTACTGCCTGAGGTGGAAAATCTTTACACCATAAAGGAGCAACTACGACTGTCTGAGGGACCATGTGCTCATTATATCTCCCACCATATGGGAGCAGCTACTACTGTCTGAGGAACCCTGTACTCATTATATCTCCCACCATAAAGGGGCAACTACTACTGTGAGGGATCCTGTACCCATTATACCTCCCACTATACAGGAGCAACTACTACTGTCTGAGGGACATGCCTCCCACTATACAGGAGCAACTACTACTGTCTGAGGAACCCTGTGTCCATTATACCTCCCACTATACAGGAGCAACTACTGCCTGAGGGACCCGTTACCCATCATGCCTCCCACTATACAGGAGCAACTACTACTGTCTGAGGAACCCTGTATCCATCATGCCACCCACTATACAGGCAACTACTACTGTCTGAGGAACCCTGTATCCATTATACCTCCCACTATACAGGAGCAACTACTACTGTCTGAGGAACCCTGTATCCATCATGCCACCCACTATACAGGCAACTACTACTGTCTGAGGAACCCTGTATCCATTATACCTCCCACTATACAGGAGCAACTAGTACTGTCTGAGGATTGACTTGCTGCTAGTAAATGAGTTGTAGATGGTGATCAATCAGAAAACATTCATTCTTCAATTGGAGATCAACAGTGCCACCTCTCTTATGTGTCTCATAAGAGGTCCACTTTAATACAAAGCATGTGCTTTGCACACTTAGGGCTCCCCATGCCCCAGCATATACACACCTTTCCTTCTCTAACCTGCCACTACGTTCAGAGCAGGGAGCCGAAGGGAATACCTGGTACTTTTGGTTATGGAGGAGCACGTGACTCATTCCATGTGACAGCAATGAGCCAATCAGCACTGTCACACGAGGATTGCATTGACGTGTATAAGCTAAGCTACAACTATTTGCTTACACAAGGCTTTCCTTAGATACGGGGGAACAAAAGGATGGTAAGTATGAGCTGTATCTTCGGGGATTTCTGTAATATAAGACCTACCCCGAAAATAAGACCTAGTTCGGTGGTAGGTCTTATATTACAGAAATCCCGGAAGATAGCGCTAGGTCTTACTTTCGGGGTAGCTGCACATATAATAGAATTTTACATGACCGGCCGCAGCTCCCTCCCCCCACACGTACACCCACCTGTCTGCCTCGGCTGCCGCTGAAGACTACATTTCCCAGCAGGCACAGCATAGCCAGTGGGGTCAAAGTGGACGGCATCAGATCGGAGAGCGGACAGCTGCAGCCAGGTAAATATAAGACATCCCCCGAAAATGAGACCTAGTGTCTTTTATCCATTTAAAAAAATATATAAAAGACAGTGTCTTATACTCGCCCTACTGGGGAGATTTCCCTTCACTTCCTGTCCCAGAGAAACAACAGGAAGTCTCTCCAAAGGAAATATCCTCTCTAACAAGTGTCCCCATTGGAGTATTCCTTCATTTTCTGTCCTGTGACAACCTGACATTTTGGATTTCCTCTCACTCTCGGTGTCACCCGCCATATCGGGACAGGCGAGGCCCAAGCAGAGCGAGCCAGCAGACACCCTGATGGTGGAAGGAAGTGTTCTCTTTCCAATGACAACCAATCAGACTCCAGATGATCTTTCCCTCGATACGTGACCCTGTATAAAACCCTTTTCCCGTATACACCCAGTATATAGTATCTCCTCTCCACCCATTACCAGCTCCGCTCCTCGGCCGGCTCTCTCCCAGGATCACAATTCAAACCAACTGCGTCACTTCCGGTTCCCGCACCGCTTACGTCACCTCACGAGTGTAGCTCTTCGCACTAGCAGAGGCTTCTGTCCCCGTTAAAGGGGGCAGCCATATTGCCGAGGCCGATCCAGAGGTGTGAACAGTCAATCAGGTGAATCCATGGATCTGATTGGCAGCAGAAGGGGGGGGGGGGTGTCCGTTGAGCGCATCAAAATATGAGACGAACACCCCTCACGGGTTCCCAGTCAGTAAATAAAGGACGAGGTTGTCAGTGATGAGGAAGATAGATTTTATACATCTGTCATTTCGCATATATTAGCTTTGTGCATTTTATCAGAAGCTGCTACTGCTGCGGTAGTTTAGTGCGCATGCGGTGTGACGTCACGCAGCAGCTGTTTCGGTGGCTCCCGCCCGCTAACAGGCTGCCACTGACTCGGGCCGCGCTGACTGGGGAGTGCGAAGTGCGCCCTGGCAGCTGCGGGGACGCGCACGTAGGAGAGGCTCCTGATTCGATGTACAGATGCGCTGACAGCAGCGGGGACGTGCACGCAGAGAGAAGTTCACTTGATGCCGCCATCCATAATACACCGTTGGAGATGGCAGAGGACGGGGAGCTATGCTGGTGTCTGAGGAGAGTCGGGGAAAAGCAGGAACGACTTATACTGCCTCAGGGGGAGGAGGTGAGTGTATAGGCTGTAGGATTCCCCCCTCAGGCCTGAGTAATCGAACTTGTAGGGCGTAGTGAGGAGTGCAGGGGGGTATAAGGGGAGGCAGGCGTACTTCACACAGTAGTAACTGCCTTCCTGTTAAGTGTGGGGTTATAATTGGGTACAGACTTTCCACCTTCACCTCAGGCTGCACTAATTGCTGCTGTAGGGGTACAGTGTTGGGTATACACCCCTAGGACAGCAGCAGTAGTTCATATATTGTGTGCTGAGGGGTACCCTGGGGTTCAGGCTCCCCTCAGGCATTAGTAGCTGCTCACACATATTGTGTTTGGGTTATAGCAGTTCTTCAGTTCAGGCAGTACTAATCGCTGCTGTCTAGTGCGGGGTGTACATCTTTCCATGAGGTGATTAGTACTGCCTGAGGTGGAAAATCTTTACACCATAAAGGAGCAACTACGACTGTCTGAGGGACCATGTGCTCATTATATCTCCCACCATATGGGAGCAGCTACTACTGTCTGAGGAACCCTGTACTCATTATATCTCCCACCATAAAGGGGCAACTACTACTGTGAGGGATCCTGTACCCATTATACCTCCCACTATACAGGAGCAACTACTACTGTCTGAGGGACATGCCTCCCACTATACAGGAGCAACTACTACTGTCTGAGGAACCCTGTGTCCATTATACCTCCCACTATACAGGAGCAACTACTGCCTGAGGGACCCGTTACCCATTATACCTCCCACTATACAGGAGCAACTACTACTGTCTGAGGAACCCTGTATCCATCATGCCACCCACTATACAGGCAACTACTACTGTCTGAGGAACCCTGTATCCATTATACCTCCCACTATACAGGAGCAACTAGTACTGTCTGAGGATTGACTTGCTGCTAGTAAATGAGTTGTAGATGGTGATCAATCAGAAAACATTCATTCTTCAATTGGAGATCAACAGTGCCACCTCTCTTATGTGTCTCATAAGAGGTCCACTTTAATACAAAGCATGTGCTTTGCACACTTAGGGCTCCCCATGCCCCAGCATATACACACCTTTCCTTCTCTAACCTGCCACTACGTTCAGAGCAGGGAGCCGAAGGGAATACCTGGTACTTTTGGTTATGGAGGAGCACGTGACTCATTCCATGTGACAGCAATGAGCCAATCAGCACTGTCACACGAGGATTGCATTGACGTGTATAAGCTAAGCTACAACTATTTGCTTACACAAGGCTTTCCTTAGATACGGGGGAACAAAAGGATGGTAAGTATGAGCTGCTGGGGAAGGCGAGATTAAAGTGATCCTGTGTGGAACAGATTCACTTTAAGAGAACCTGTCGCTTTGCCTATAACCCTCACCACCACCATCTACCCTATGTGAACCTGTACAGTGCTTTGCCACTGTTCCACATTGTGTTGCAGCTGCTGCCAAACACGTTGTGCTTCCCTATATTGATGAGCCTGTGACCTTCTCCCATGGTGCAATGCTCGGGTCTAGTGGTCAGTCACCATGATACTACGTCCTCTCTGAGCTGGTCGGTTTTTGGTGTTACAGCAGCAATGTAAAAGTTTATCTTTTATCATTCGTATGTATTCAATATGTGTTACTTATTACTCTTATTGTTGTCTGTCCAACAGGTGACTATAGGAAGAGGGATCGGTGTCACGTACCAGCTATCTTCTACGTCATGTCCCTTAATGATTTCCCGCACACACTGCATCTTCCGGCAGAACACAGAGGGCCAGTGGACGGCCACCGATAACAATGTAAGCCCCGCAATGTTTACATGTTAAAAAGCCTATTCTACTTCCTGGTGCTTGCACATTTGCTTCTGTGAGTGTCTTGGCTTCTTCCTCCACATCCATAGATCAGTGCTATTGCAGTGAGCAGACCCTAGTTTGTAAAGTGAACACGCTTTGCTCCTTTAAATCCACCACTAATATCAAATGTATTTGGAGTACAGCACCTATTATGTTCAGATGAGTAGCTTCAAATTCAGAAAGTCAGGTGACTATATCAGACTATAAAGACCTACTTTACTATAGCTACATACACCCACCATGTGTGCAGTTCAACACCCTCTTCTTCACAAGATCAGGAGAATGGTACCCGCCTATTTTCTGGGTGACAGAAGCTTGGGAGAAAAAATGGCAATTGCGGTTGTGCCTCCTCGTTCACCTCTTGTACCTATCTTGCTGATTGGTTACTAAATGGACAGAGCACCACGTAATGAAGGCAGCCTTGTGCTCTTCCCCCTTCTCTAATCACGTTCACGGACAAAGCACCATGCAACGAAGAGAGCTTTGTGCTCTTCCCCTTCTCTAACTATGTTCACGGGCAGAGCACCATGCAACGAAGAGAGCTTTGTGCTCTTCCCCTTCTCTAACTAAGTTTACGGACAGAGCACCATGTAATGAAGAGGGGAAGATAGGCTCCAGGGACTGGTCTAAGAGCAAGCTGGCACCAAGAATCGGGTAAGTATAACTTTTTTTATTTCCCTCCCTAGACACAAACGGGCAATCTAAGCCTTGCAGTGCTGGGGTAGTCCCGCTGCAAGGGCTTATAAAAGTTTTACCCGGAGTCCTTCTTTAAAAAGGAACTCCAGGAAGGATCTCTTTTGGAAACTTACATTGTTCCACCTTTGCTCAGTGTATCCATATCTGATTTCTGGAGGGCCGCTGGGGATGCTGAAAACCACTGTAATAATCTGCACTACATACAGTGATAGCCGTGATCTTCCAGGTGCGGCTCCAGGCGGTCACTTGGAACCACAGCTATTCAGAGAACGCCTTTTATCTTTTCAGTGAATACGAGGCATTCTCTAATTAGACGAGGAGGTGAGGCTGATGTCCCCAGTGGCCCTTCGGAGATCAGATATGGATATTTACATTGAGCCAAGCTGGACCTTAAAGTGACACTAATCTAAAAATCTTAATGTATTCAAGTCCCTTAACTCTGAACACCAATGTATGTTATTTGTGTATCACTCGGCTGTAGTTCCTCAAATCATCTCTGAATTGGTGCTGGTCCATTCCTTCTGGAGGGGGCTGCTTTTGTTCCCCATGGTCCCTGTGTGTGTTGTAAAGTAGTCACCGCTCCAAGCTCGCTCCCGGGATGGATTACAAGCTCATGTTTAGTTTACTAATTTGTATTATCCCTCCAGAAGGACAGTGTCAGCACCAATTCAGAGATGATTGGAGGATCTACGAGTGATACACAAATAACCTACATTGTTGTTCATAGTTCAGGTACTTGAATGTACTTTTAAAATGTAACTACTGAGTTTAGTGTCACTTTTTAGGCTGGGTTCACACCTGGGTGTTCCAAATACGAGTTTTTTCAGTACGTTATTTGCACGTTTGAAAACACGTTTTTTTAATCAATTGTACAAATCGCGCTGAAATACGCCCAGGTGGGAACCATGCCCATAGGGATTCATGGAATTTCACTTCCTGAGCGTTTTTCAGCACTGAAAAACGCCCAGGTGTGAACCCAGCCTTAAAGACCAAGGGTGGGGCTTTGCACCAGGAAGTGGTGAAGTTTAAGCTCAACTTGGCCAAAAGTAGAAGCCACTTCAACAGTCTGAACATGGCACCTATGAAAGGAACACAGAGATCAGTCTTAACATATAACCAAATGCCAGCCCTTGCCTTCCTCTTCCACATTCCTGTTGGTTGCCTATCATAGTGATATAGTGACCAAGAGAAATGTGTGGAAGGGAATTGGCAGTAAGCTCTGGCACCACCTGGAAGTCTTGGAGCTTTCCTGTCGGAATGGCATTGCCTGTCTCTTTAGGAAGAGTTCAGACTTGCTATTCGATGTTGCCAGTTTGTTGTAGCAAAAGAAAGCCCACCTTATAATATTGCCTTAGATGTTTTGCAGTCTGGTTTTTGCGTACTTGTGTCAAAAAACTGTAGAAAGTGCAAAATAAAAACTGCTTTTCTATGACTTTGTTTAGTGATTCTGTTTCCTTTTGACCAACTTGCAGAGCTTGAACGGAGTATGGGTTAACAAAGAGAGACTAGAGCCACACAAACCGTACACGCTGTCCAAAGGCTCCTCTGTGCAGTTCGGAGTACCTCTTCCAAATACAGACAAACCTGAGTTTGAATATGAAGTAGTTCAGGAGAACCCGGAGCAAATCCAACCATTTCTGACCCGTCCTCTGTCCGGCAGGAGCAAATCTCTACGGAACAAACGTAAACTGAACTGTGACGATTCTGAGGCCTCCGGAACGGAAGTCGGTACCTCTGGCGTGTCCAGAGCCAAACTCCAGCGTAGAGAAGAACAGCCCAATAAATTGCCAAAGCCCGACCTGTCCAAACAGCCGACAATACCTGTAGAACAGCCAGAACCGGATTTTGACATGGCAGCTACACAACAGCAGTGGGCCAACACTTTGCAGCTGTCTAGAATGAAAGAGTCAATAGCAGAGCTCCGCATTCTAAATGCTCAGGTCCAGGAGAAACACACGGACATGCAAAAGATAAAAGATCCTGAGAAGAGCCAGTCAGAGGATTGTCTGCTTAAATGTCGGCAGGAGCTCAATGATCTCCAGAAACAACTGTTCGCCAAGAGAAAAGAGCATCTGCAGAGGGTCCGTGAGCTGCAGAAGATGCAACAGGAGCAGCAGAGCAAAGTAAGAACATATATGTTTTGAAGGGACCCTAAACGAGTCCCCATCAAGTCACCACCCAGGTGCAGGTGTGTCCCCTGTGTGAGACTCAATGTCACTTCCACACCTGAGTCAGGATTTGGGAGGCTTTCCCTTAGCACTGCTGTGTTGTATATTGCAAAAGAAGCTGGGCTGCTTTTCACACCATGAAGTCCGTGTTCCTGTGCGTTCGGCCTCTGGATTGCATGCCGGCCTCCTCCCTGCGGGAGGGAGTGTGCCGGTGAATTGAAGTCAATGGCAGGGATTACCATCCTCCCTGCTCCGATCCTCCAACGCTGACTGGCGGAACGGACGGGGGAGGGGGCGGGTACAGCTGGCTCTGTCTCTAGATAGGCAGAGCCAGCTGTCAATCACGCAGCTGGGTGGATCCTGACAGTAATGTCGGGATTCGTCCCGGCTGCGGCAGTCTCAGTATAGCGTGAGCTGTAGCTCGCGATATACTGAGCTTTGGGTCACGGGAGGACGCTAGTTTGTGTCCTCCCGTGACCCGTGGGAGAACTATGGGGAAAAAACACTATCGGTTTTTCGGTATCGAGTACGAGTACCGATATTTTTTTTTTTTTGTTCGCTACTCGCGGATACTGAGTACTGGTGCTGCGTTCCCCGATTAGCAGGAAGTCGGCCAGCGGCTCATGACCTGTCACCTGGCTTCCTGATTGCCTGTAAAGCTGGTGTTCTAGCGAAAAACACGGGCTTCAGAGGCTGCCTGGCTTCCCAACCAATCAGGAAACTGGGACGCCGATTCATGAGGTGCCTTCCGGCTTCCTAAATTCCTAAAGCCAAGCTGCCTACCATTTAAGTAAAGCTGGCTTCCTAGCCAATCAGGAAGCCGGATGGCACGTCATGACCCGCCTCCTGGCTTCACTTGTTCCTAGGTAGCCTGGCTTCCTGACCAATCAGGAAGCTGGGAGGCGGGGCATCACCTGCCGCCCCAGGGTTCCTGATTGGTTAGGAAGCCAGGCTCCTTAGCAACACGTGAAGCCGGCTTCCTAGCCAATCAGAATGTTGGGAGGCAGGTCATATCCCCCCGCCTGGCTTCCTGATTGGAAAGGAAGCTGCCTTCATGCTCCCTCGGCACTGCTGGTCGGAGGAAATCTCCCTCTGACCAGAAGTTCCCTATCGGAGCATTTGGGTGAGTACGAGTACTTGCCCAAATACTCGGTATTGGCACTGATACTAGTATTGGTGCATCCCTATTCATAATTGTTAGGTAGGTATTGGTTAACACTTACACAAGAGCTCCACCTGCTTTGTTTTATTTGGTTAGCACAAAATATTTCATTTTATTTTCTCTTTATTGGACATAGCACAGTATTGGTTGTTGTATCGGAGAAGTCTCTTGTTTTGTAGAGCTCATCGGCCGAGTCCAAGGCTGCAGAAGAACCCCATCTGAAGGAGCAGCTCCGCCAACTCCTGCAAGAGGTAAACTCGTGTATGTCCATCATCTACCAGCTTAGTAAGAACGCGTTCACACCATTTATGTTGCAGTAAATCACGTTTGTGTGCTGTGGTTTTTTTTTTTTAAATGACACCTGAACACGCTTCCCCCCCATACACCTGCAATGTAATGTACTGTCTGCATTGCCCTGCAGAAATAAAATGCACCATGCACTGAATTTTCATGTGTTGGTATGTTAGAGCTCATTCATTATGAATAGGCTGCCTAACACAATGTGCCTTAACGTGTGAAAGCATATTGTGAATCCGTCCTGAAACATTATGCATGCATTAGCTACACTGTAGCAGGGCTGCTGATAGGTGGGGTACAGGAGATCACAGAAAGTGGGTTGGATGATAATGGGCGTCATTTAACCCGCCACTGGATTGCAGAATGGTGTGTCTAAGGGGGACAGACTTGTAGATATGCTGATTATTTTATTGTTACTGTTGCAGGGCAGTTATTTTTTTTAACTGTAAACTGGAGTTAGACTTTAATGTGTTAAAGGAGAACTATGAGGTGAGTGATTTCCACTCATCCTCCTAGTTAGAGCCGACAAAGAAGCTGTCGCAGGTCGGCTCTATCGATTGGGAAGTGAGCAGAAACATGCAGCCGATCCGCTCACTTCCTAATAGTCTCCCTGCAGTGAACGGTGGCTGTCAGTCACGACTCCCTGCTGGGAATCCCCCCTTCCCCTCTCCGATCCTCCAGCACTGAGTGGAGGAACGGACTGGGAGGGGGCGGGTACAGCTGGCTCTGCCTCTGGATAGGCAGAGCCAGCTGTCACTCGCGCAGCTGGGTGGATCTCGACAGTAATGTCGGGATCTGTTCCGGCTGCGGCGCTCACAGTATATCGTGGACAATAGCTCACAATATACTGAGCTTTGGGTCACTGGAGGACGCTAGTATATGACCCTAAAGAGAACTATGGGAAAAAAACTTACCCCATAGCTCTCTTTTTTTTTAATGATTGTTTTCCCAATTTTGATGCTTCACCTAAAAGTATTATGTTACTTCCCTTCCTTGGAACCATGGCAACAGCATTACATTTGTGTGAACAAGAATTCTCATCTCTTATATCTTATGCTTTTAGGAAAATCTGTACTGAGAGAATCTGTAGGCTGCCCTTGCAGATCTGGTCTTCTGGAAATGCTGGCTTCCTGGCTGTCATGCTGGTGCTTTGGCTTTAATACATTCTGAGTAAGTGACTTGGCCGATTTTGTGCAGAATAGGAGTCCTGACTTTTATCAGCTGCATACTTGTTCCAAGTCAGAGACCAAGCCACTAGCATTTTCAGAAGCAGATCAGCAATGGAGGACCCCTTTATGGGGTTTGTTTAAAGGAGAACTATGGGGGTCAGGGCTTTTCCTCATAGTTCTCCTAAGGGTTACAGGAGAACACAAACTAGCGTTCTCCCGTGACCCAAAGCTCAGTATACTGATACTAATACTGTCGAGATCCACCCAGCTGCGTGAGTGACAGCTGGCTCGGCCTATCTAGAGGCAGAGCCAGCTGTGCCCTCCCCCGTCCGTTCCACCAGTCAGCGCTGTAGGATCGGAGGGGGGGAATCCCTGCAGGGAGCCGTGAGTGACAGTCACGGCTCTCTGCAGGGATAGATCGAGAAGTGAGCGTGCGACAGTATGTGTTCGCTCACTTCACGATCTACTGAGCCGACCTGTGACAGTTTCATTGTCACAGTTCGGCTCAGATTATGAGACTGAGTGAAAATCACTCGCCTCATAATTCTCCTTTTAAGATTAAGTAACTTGCATTTCCTTTGGTGTTCTTAGATTTCCTATCCATTGTCTAGCCTTTTGTAAGATACTTGCAGAGGGTGATGCATATCCGGAGGGTGCAGGGGCTACATATTACCATACAGGGTTTGGTCTTGTGATTATAGTACGGGCAAACCCCTCCAACTTAGCCCTCGTGTACAAGGATTGAAGCCAGAATTTTGGACATCCCAGTAACCCCAACCGCCTGCTGCTGTTCTCTTTTCCAGCATTCCCTGCTCATGGACGAGCTGAATCGCCATCACTGGGATTTTGAAAAGATTATTCAGGACAAGAACAGAGAACTCCAGGAGACAAAGGTTTGTGTGTGATGTACACAGACTTGTATTTCCTATAAACTACCCCTGTTGTCTCATGTGGCACACCAGGGACGGCCATATCCACTGTGTTATATATGATGTTGCAGGCACCTTCCATACCTTTTGATCACAGCCGAATGTTGGGCCATTCTGAGATTCAGGCACAAACCTGACACTTAATTCGTAAGCTCCATTCCCCACACATTCCTGAAGGACCATGTTGGACATTCATGCTGGCACAGAAGTCATACATAGTCCCACTTGTTCCTGGCCAGTGACTCGGGGACCAATAGAGCGTTAACGGTAGGTATGCACCGATACTGATACTAGTATCGGTGCCGATACCGAGTATTTGGAGCGAGTACTCGTACTCCCCCAAATGCTCCAATACCTTGCCTGATACCGGAACTTCTGTTCAGAGGAATATTTCCTCTGTCCGGCAGTGCCGCAGGGCAACATGGAGCCAGCTTCCCGTGCGATCAGGAAGGCGAGTAATGATCCAGCTCCCGGCTTCCTGATTGCCCGGTAGGCCGGATCCATGCTGATTGGCCAGAAAGCTGGCTTCCCAGCCAATCTGGGAGGTGGGTCATTACTCGCCGCCCGGCTTCCTGATTGCCCGGTAGGCCGGATCCATGCTGATTGGCCAGAAAGCTGGCTTCCCAGCCAATCTGGGAGGTGGGTCATTACTCGCCGCCCGGCTTCCTGATTGGCCGTGAAGCCGGTTCCCCATTATTGGTGCGTACCGAAATACAGGTCTCAGCGCATTCCTAGTTAACAGCCAAACATATAGCAATTTCCAAAGAGATCTGAAGTGGCAACCCTTGCAATTGTTTCTTTTAAAGCTGAGCTCCATTCTTCCCTTCAGTCATGCACGGTTGTACAGGTTCCTCTCCTGGACTAAAATTGCTTACTGTCATTTTACTTACTCTCGAGCCCCCAGCCCTGATTTACAAGCAGTGGGCTGGCTCTTGGGAAGAGTAATGCAAATAACAAAATGCCCTGCTGGGTGTATGTCCGTCTGGAGGAGTGTGTGTTTTTCCAGTTGTCTTCCAGGCCAGCCCATGAGAGTGTGTAACTCCTCCTCCAAACAGGAAACACGTCACCATACCAACTTAAAAGGCCCCCTGATACTATCCCTTTTCAGTTATTGTGTTTCCTACGTCAGGAGGAGATCGTTACCATTTGGAGCTCTCATGGAGTGTGATGAAGGTGGACTAGGGCCCCGGTACCTCTCCTAAGGCTCCTATGCGAAGGGGTTAGTCCCGGCTCCACTTTCCTCTTGGTGCTCGGAGAAAGCCAGGACTGGAGGTAGCGTGTCTCCCTTGGCGTGCTCGCAGGAAGCTGGCCATCGGCTAGACGGGTGACGTCATTTCCGGCGGAAATGCGCAACTTCCGGAGGCATTACTGGCTGATTGGCTAACACTCGCATATGATGCTGGATCTACAGGATTGAAAGAACTCGAACCCAATGAATGAAAGGAGCGGCCCAGAGGTGGTCAGGCTGGGGAGTAAGGAACTAGATGATGCGGAACGTCCTCCATCCAGGAAATGAGCCAGGGGCTCTATCTGACTCTGTCCAGCTTGGAATGCACTTTGTGAGAAGTTCACATTGCGCAGTGACATCAGAGGAAGCCATTTCAGTCCAGGAGAGGAGCCGGTACAACTGTGCAAGGCCGGATTTCAGCTTTATGACAACCATAAAAGACACTCTGTTCTCTATATTACGTCTAATGATATCACTCCTTTTATTAATTTGGATTTTAGAGCACCACGAAGGGCCTGCAGGTTGTTTGGTCCGTCCCCTTGCCATGCCTGCCATCACCTTGTAATGCCAGTTTGTTAGCAACAAGTTCCCTTTCAGTGTGGTGTTCATGAATCTTAAAGTGAGAGAAGAACAGAAAGAAATCGAACAATGCTGTACAATGACACTGGGAGGGGTCCAGCTTTGAATGTATTGGGGGGTTCTCTGCAAGCAGAGGAATCTGAGATCAGTATTGGTTGGGTAACCGCTGTCATGGCTGCCTCTTACAGAAAGAAAAGGAGAAGATGGAGGCTCAGAAGGAGGAAGTTCTTAACCATATGAACGACGTCCTGGACAACGAGCTGCAGTGCATCATCTGTTCTGAGAATTTCATAGAGGTGAGTCTGTTTGTGAGGTATTGATGCCACATGGCCGAAGGTTCACCAGACCATCACATCTATATGAGCTTGGTGAACATCCTATTCCAAAACTAACAGCGTTGCAATTCATCCTAAAGGTGTTCAGTAGGGTTGAGGACAGAGTTCAAGCTCAAGAGCAGGACACGGAGTTCAAGCTCCTTCCTTTGTGTACAGGGTCAGTCATTTCGGAACAGAAAACTACCTTCCCTAAAATGCAGTTATCCTCTAAGTAGACTAATTAATGGATACTGTAATTGATGGACTCATCACTTGGGCAAGGGGGGGCAGAGTGGGTGGTGTCTGGAGAGTGGGTGAATGGTGGAGTCTGGATGCTACAGGTTACTGAACATTTTACATCCTCAGTAGTCATGTATCTTTCTTGTTACTTCAGGCTGTCACCCTAAACTGTGCGCACAGCTTCTGCTTCTTCTGCATCCAGTCCTGGCGGAAGAGGAAGGACGAGTGCCCCATCTGTCGACAGGATATAACATCCCAGACTCGATCCCTCGTCCTGGACAACTGCATCAACCGCATGGTGGATAAACTGAGCCAGGAGATGAAAGATCGCAGGCTAGCTCTGATCTTGGAGCGTAAAGGTGAGAGGTGGGTGACCACTGCA